GAGAATCATCAAGGAAATGTAGTCTTAGATAGTAGAATAAAGGTAATTACAGTGTAGTTAAACTTTCAATCTTGTGAGCAAAGATTTCTGTTCCAGGCTTTATCATCTTCAGAGCACAGATAGTCTTATGGTAGGAAGTAAAATATAGTTTAAAAAGAAACACCCTATGGAAGAAAGAACAGAATCCTCTAAGACAGTGCAGAAGGCAGGCAGCCCTGTTAGCAAAAATAATCTTTTTTTTTTCTCCTTCTCTTATAAGTATTGTGGCTCTCTTAATAATAGATTTCAGCATTTGAAGAAAACATACCTACTTTGTTCTAAGGAGTGTAAGTAATCCTTACTCCCATAAATGGCAATTGAGAGAGTGAGAGTTTACAAAACTAGCCTAATATTGTGTGTCAAAATCAGAACACTGATGTAAGATCAGAGAAATTGCTCTCCAGCAGGAAAACCTCTGTGATGATTGCAGTTAATTGTACCATTTTTTCTACTAAATGCTCTATTACCTTTTCTGTCAGGAGGTGGAGGAGGTGTTTGAAGCAACCAGCCTCAGCCCTCTGTTAGCCTGTTCATCTCCCCAGGCTCCCTCTGTAGGTAGTGGAGACGCAGGAGCTGTTTTATGAGCATGATTCAAAGCAGAGACACAAACTGGGGCTTTTCCAGCAGGTTTGTGCCAATCTCATTGCCTAAACAAAGAGCCATGGGAGACTAGCTGCCTAATTTAGGCTGTATCTGTGCTGTGGGGCAAGTACTCTCCTCTGTGTTCCCTGCAATCTATTATCCAGTCTGCAGTTAGGGAATCTTTCTACCAGTCCCATGCTAAACAGCAGTCAGCATACTTGAGTACACACTGGCTGGGAAGCACATTTAGCTCCTGCAATTTAGAAACACCTAAAGATGTGACTGGCCTGCCTTCAAAGTGTCTTGACAGTCACCGTTTAGGCTGGGAGACAGAACCCTCAGCACTGAATGAATGACCTGTAAAAAACTACTGAAGTTCTTTTATTTTTATTTTTTTTTAGTTACAATATTTTATTGAGTTAGAACTGAAAAGCAGACGTTGGTGTATCATTATTTTATTCTTCAGCAGCATCAGGTTTGAGCTAGAAATCTAAGCTTTATTTTATTTTGGGTTGGGTTTTTTCCTGTGACTGTTGCAGGAACTGTCATGGGTAACCAAAGTTTTACCACCTTGATAATGTGTAGTTTGAATATCTACAGAATTTGTGTTCCAGTAATACAGTGAATTTTGAGTTGTTGATTAGTGAAATATAATTTAATCCACCTAATCTATGATGTTCCTTTTCAGTTATTTGCATGCCAAGTCAATCATCCACAGAGACCTCAAGAGTAATAGTATCCTTTCCCAGAGATGTGACTGTGGAACATGACAGCATTCCTGGGTCATTGTGGGTTTTTTATTTTGTCTTGTGGGCTTTTTTCTGCCAGAAATGGACTTTCTGATGTGAAAAGCTGTTCGTGCCTGCGTATTTGCTGAGTTGAAATTTTGTTTAGAAGTAGTAATATCACTAGCAGCAACTTAAGGAATACTTACTATGTCTACTGATGTGATTGCAATAATGTGGCAAGTTTCATTTTGGTATCTCAAAGATTTTTGCACCATTTGGTTTCTGCAATTAGTGAAAGATTACACCGATTCACTCATGGAATATTTTCAGCTTGTCTCGTACTTGACATTTCAATAAAGTACTTGGCATTTCAAGAACACCACCTGGACCATGGTGTGTTCAGCACTAGCCCAGTCATTAATGATGTAATCCTTAAGTACCATAATTCACAATGCAAGCTGCTAAGAACCTGTATTATATGAAAACCTTCTTCCATGGTGGTGGATGGTTAAAACTGTTATGTCTCATATTGCTGATTTGTAGCTGTTTATTGTTTTTGTAGGGCAAGACCAGTACTGCTTGTTTTCCCTTAACATTTCCCCCTTAGATATTTTTCTTCATGAAGACCTCACAGTAAAAATAGGTGATTTTGGTCTAGCTACAGTGAAATCACGATGGAGTGGATCCCATCAGTTTGAACAGTTGTCTGGATCTATTCTATGGATGGTAAGCAAGGGAGAAGTGGTGTGTTTGTTTCAAAAAATGTAATTGCCTTTGGCCAAAGTTGTGTACAAGCTGTCTTAAGCTGGAAAAGATAAGCAGTAATATGAAGTACTAAATGAATGCTTCTCTTTAAACATGCATTTTCCAGTGGTCAGAAAAAAAAAAAAAAAAAAAAAAAAAAAAAAAAAAAAAAAAAAAAAGTGTTAGTGTCTTATTCTGTGGCTTAAACTGAAAAGAAAATAGTGGCTAAGGGTATGATTAAACCAGAGTTAAGGAGAAGGAAAAGCCATGGAAAACATCATGCAAGGGAGCAGAGGAGCTAGCTTAGCCAAAAGTAAGATGTTCTTTTAAGGATTCAAACATGGTTACTCTCAAGAGGTTGTACAACTTGCCTAAGTCTTAATAAGAAGTATAGTTACAACCTTCTGTGAGATCCTGCTTTTGCCTTTACTCCCTGAAAGGGACCAAAGGCTTTGTTATTGGCATTATTTTAAGTGTTGTCATAATTCTAGTTTCAAAATAGCTTCTTGTCCTGGACAAGGTAATTATGTTCTGTTGTAGAGGAATAAAGGGATCACTAAGCTAAAATGAACCAATGGATTTTGAGATTGTTGTGAACATACACTCTATATTAGGACCTGGTAACATCTGAAGGCAAGATTGGGCCTTGCAGTTGTTACACTCGGGACAAGTCCATGTTTTGTTCCTGGTATGTGAAGTGCAGCCTGATATGGTGAAATAAAAACAACTTCTTTCCTTTCATGGTACAGGCACCAGAAGTTATTAGAATGCAAGATAAAAACCCATATAGTTTTCAGTCGGATGTGTATGCGTTTGGGATTGTTCTTTATGAACTGATGACTGGACAGTTACCATATTCAAACATCAACAACAGGGACCAGGTAAGGGAAGGGCTTGACTTGAGTCAGCTGTGGCCTGAAATGGAGATTGATTCAGCCTTGTGAGGTGCACATTCTGCTGTTCTGTGTGTTTGATTTGTGTTTCTGATTCTAATGTTACGAGATGACATTTCTACATTGTCTAGATCTGCCTCAGCAACATAGCACCAATTTACTTCTCTTGAGGTATTTTTTTTGTTCTTTTTTACTTCAAGTATAGATTTTCAGCTTCTGAGCTGGTTGCCAGGATACTTATTAGGGAGAGAGCAGGTTAGTTAATAGTAATCTAGTTTAGAATAGTTCTGCAAAGGTGAAATGATCCTCCATGTGTTCAGGTATTCCTCTTTCCTCCCACTGCTTCCCCTTGCATTGAGCAGTAGTTCAGCAACAGGACTGACAAAATGGAACAGCAATCATCTCGCTGAATGCTTTATATTCATTTCAGTCTTGAGAAATGCATGCACCATCTAATTGAATTTCAGGATATCAGCATTTCTCAAATCCTGCTTGATGGAGTATGTGACTTTCCAGAGTTGTGGATCCTGGAAGAAGATTATTTAATTGCGAACAAATATTCCTTAAGTCCAAACATACCACATGCCTGTAATATATCACCACAGGATAGGCACATTTGGGAAGGCATATCTGATTCATTATTCCTCTGTCTAATCTGAAAATAGCATCTATGCATCAAGATCTTTGGTGTAAACTATTTCATGTCTGGGTGGTGATATATTTATGTATCTGTGTCTGCATCCCTTCTTTTTTCGCTGTCAGTACTTGAGAATTGCAACCATAGCAACGTTCATCTGTGAATGCCATTTTATAAGGCTGCTTCCATATTTGTCAGAACTCTTAATCCCTATTCATTAAATTTGGAGTGACTCCTTTTTTTTACTTAGTATTTTTATTTGCCTTTTGAAAGAAGGGAAGTGTCTGGATTCCTGGTCAGATAGGTAGAGCCTTCTAAAAGCAGTATTCATGCATTATTGGTTGGGGGTTTTTTGAGATTTGAAAGATGAACCCATTTGCTGTGTGTGCTAACAGCTGAGTGCTGAAACAAATTCTAAATTGCAAGTGAAGCCAACATATAAAATGTGATATAGTGTCTCAATGGTCTGTTGTCTGAAAAGACATAAATATCACTGTGTTGGTGCATCTACATCAGCTGCTATGACAAAAGTAAGAACCTTAGTGAGCAAAGCATCATTCTTGTTTCACCTCAGAGTGTTTCTCTCACTAGAAGAGATTTTTCTAGATCAAGTCTGTTGTTTTAGTGATATTCTCTTTTATCTTAGTTAAAATAGAAGTTTAATCCCTGTTTCATTTGGAAATATAGTATTGGAAACATTAATAACAACACTTTAATAGTTTCAACTCAAGTAGTGTAATTATTTAGAAAAGAGTAACTTATTGATGATGGTGAGTCTCATTGCAGCAGAGGTAAGGGATAGGGTACACTAGTCTTTACTATGAAATGTAGCTCTGGCACTTGGGGATTTCTAAAGAAACCATATGGGAGTTCTACACTCCTTGATGCCAACACAGATGCGACTGAATCAGAAAGCTGAAACAGGACCAGGACTATGTTAGTATAAATAACATGTAAAGCTTGCTTGAGATGTGGGGGGTTTTTGTTGTTGTTTCTTTTTCTTTTTTTGCCAGTGTCAATATATGAATTAGTTAGACTTCGTTAAAGATAAGGTATGATACACCTGCTGGGACTCTCAGGGTATTCAGAAAAGGTAGCGCTTACCTGCTGCAACATGAATGGGACTTTGATGAGCTAGTTTGAAAGGGCTTTTTTCGTGTCAGCACGACTGCACTACTCAAACCACATTGCATTTGACCTTGGCTCGACATGATGATGTTTGATGGGGTTTTTTATATGTTTAACAGAACGATAACCATATTGAGACCTTCCTGCTTTCTATTAGTTTACTTTGTTTTATGCTTAAGCTTTATCCTTAGGTGAAATGTAAGCGTTCCATGTTAACGTAATTACTGTCAAAATACAAAGCCTGTCTGTCTCCTCCAGAGGAGAGGCAGTTTTTCTTTTGAGGTTTTGTTGTTTATGTTTGGGGGATTTTTTTGTTTTGTTGGGGTTTTTTTGAGGGGGAGGTGGTCAGATGTCAAGAATAGGCTTTTGTAGTGGAAAAGTGCATAAAGGAATTTATTCTCAAAAGGTAGGGGGGTTTTAATATCTGAAGCCCATGTGTTTCTAAAAATGCCTTTCAGTGTGAATTTGCTGTTGACTTATAATATAAACCAGAATATTTTATTTTAGGCATTCTATTCCTGACATGGAGTTGCTTATTGTTTATGTAACATTTTGTTGGGAACAGTTTTTGACATTGAACCCTTCCTTAGATGGTTATTGCTAAAAATGGCAACCATTTACTAGTGTTCAAGTTCCACAGAAATCTCTCTCAGGAGGTGGAGAAAAAAAAAAAATCTGTTTTTTTTTCCTCTGAACTAAATAGGTTATCAAGCATTGCTCTAAGAAACTTAGTAATTTCAATAACAGGTAATGTTTCCTGGGAGCAGAAAATTTGCTTCTGGGACTAAAATAGTCTAGCAAAATGTTCATCTTTTGTTACTGCTTGTTTTATGGACTCATCTTCTTCCCCTTTCATCTTTTTTCCCCTCAAATAAAGATCATTTTTATGGTGGGACGAGGATACTTATCTCCAGACCTCAGCAAAGTACGGAGCAACTGTCCAAAAGCTATGAAGAGACTAATGGCAGAATGCTTAAAAAAGAAAAGAGATGAGAGACCCCTTTTTCCACAGGTGAGGAATATTCCTCTTTACTTCACAGTAGACTTTACAATTCAAATATTAAAAATAAAGATAATTGGCCAGTTCAATAATTTTTTTCTTAGTGGTATAACGTGACTTCCTAAGAGTAGTGGTTCAGTAGCTGGTTAGTGCTTTTTAGTTAGAAAAGCTTATTTTCAAATCAGATAGCAGCTAGTAAAATGACTTGTGTTTATGTGTTGGAAACTCCAAGATAGTGAAATTAATAATCACAATTAGGCACACAAAGTAAAATTTGTTGTGTAAGTTCTCAGAAAATTTTATACACCTCTCCTTGCTCTCCTCCAAACTTTATGAGGGGAAACTGATAGTGTTGTCACAAAACTAGATTTATCATGCCTGCTGAGGAAGGTTTGAATTCTAAAAGCTGGAGTGGAACCTTATATTTTTTTTGTTTACGAAAAATAACGAGCTCCCTCTGCTGGCTTTTTGGTAAATGGTGTTAAATAGACCGCTGCTAAAGCTGTGTTTATTTGCAGTGGTGGTGGGTATAGTTACTGGTGCATAAACTAGGAGGCAGATAGAGGGTAACTATATACGTTATACTTACAGATGGATATTTATATGCTCTTTTAAAGGGGAATATGAGACAGTTTATTCCCAAAATGTCCTTACAGCTTTTTGAGGATATAGACATCAGAGTGCAATTCAATAGTTTATTTTTTAAAGTTTCTGTTTAAATTTGTATATAATTTTTTTTCTGTAGTTAATTGATGTTCTGACTTTGGTTTTAAGAGAGTGCCACAATTTCAGAACAACAGATTTGATCACTTATTTTTTACTTTTTTTTAGATTCTTGCCTCCATTGAGCTTCTGGCCCGGTCATTGCCAAAAATTCACCGCAGTGCATCTGAGCCCTCATTAAACCGGGCTGGCTTCCAGACAGAGGATTTTAGTCTGTATGCTTGTGCTTCTCCAAAAACACCCATCCAAGCAGGGGGATACGGTGGGTTTCCAGTGCACTGAAAAGCAATGTGAAAGCATGTGCCTGTGTGTCTGTGTGCTGGTGTGTTCCTGTTCGTGCAACACGTGTGTACGTTCTCTGTTCCTACCAGCTATATCTTTAAGGTTTACTGAGGGAATGGAGACTCTCTTCCTAACACTGGTCCTGAGCACAGTGTGTGTTGGTAAGGAATGCCCTGGGAACAGCTGGCACAAGAAAATAAGGTTACATTAGAGAAATGGAAAAGTCACTTCAAAACAAGAAAAAATTCTCTTAAGGTCGTTGGGTGTCATTTTTGCCTAGTTTATTGATTGGAAGTAGTTACTCAAGCTGTGGTGGTTTGGTGGTTGTTGTTTTTTTTTTACTTCAGTTGAAGTCATTATATTTGTGTAATAGGGTTTAGATTGCTCAGTTAAGATACTTATATGTGGGAAACAACTGGAAAAATAAACTTAGCTTCAAGGCTGAGCCCAGTAGAAAATTCTCATGGTCAGCAGAAGTGAGCAGGTACAACACAGAATCCAAAGAAAGACCTTAGTGACATGTGACTTATTTTGAAAGCTGAAGATTAAATTAGTGCTGTTTAGAGAACGTCTCTCCCTACAGAGGAGTGGTGGCAAGGGGTTTGGTTTTTCTTTTGCCTAAATACCCTGACCCATTATAGTTTATACTGTCTTAAAATGTCCTGTTACAATGCTGCATAGAAGAAATTCTCAATCTCTGTTATTGCTGAACTGCAAGATTGCTGGTAATGGTCACTGTGTCCTGCAATTAGCAACGATTTCAAAATTAAAAAAAAAATTAAATCTCAAGCATGACCAAATACTTTAAGGAGAAAAGGCTGTTAACACCCAAAATAGGAAAAGAGGATTTGAAAAAGCAGTTCTTTTAATGGAAATCAGTATTATACTGTGAATGCTGTTGAGATTAAAGTTTTGAAGTACTTTAATATTGTAAAAATACCACTGAACGTACTTCCGTTCAATGAGGAATTGTTATTTTTCACTTCCATATAAAATCCTCTAGTTTGACTCAAATTGATCAGTTACAGTAGATATCTAACTGAGAAAGCTAGGTACCTTACCAAGATCTTTTCAGCTCTCTTTAAAGATCAGGGTTTTTTCTCTGGAGCTTTCCTCTGGAACAAGTGAATCAGAGTAGTAATTCAGGTTATATCAGGCTTCTATGTCAGGTATAAAAACGATAACGTTATTGACTGTGTTCTTGCATGTTCTGAAATTCATTATGTAGGTTTCTTGGTTTTAAACTGCCAAGCTATTAATTTTTGCAGGTTCTTCTGCATCAGAAACAAGCTGTTGCTGCTCTTGTTAGGACTTCAAGGGCCAGGAGTGTTCTTACTGGCTTTTTTTTTACATACTTACAGCCAAGGTCACATGTTGCTAGCAGTAGGTTTTTGAAATAAATCAGGAATTCAAAAAAGGTTTTCTTTTATTGCTGTCTGGCAACTAAGCCTTTTAAAACAGGAGGCTGAGTTAGAGAGCTTGAAGAGATGTAGATAATTTTCTATATTTTCTGGCTGGATTCTAATGGTCTTCTTGGCTTTTTCTGTTGGAACAGTTTGGAAACGAACTTTTCTAATTTTTGGTAGTCAAGAAAATTCAGCTGTTAAAATCTATATCTATGGAAATAGTTATGGAGGACAAAAGTTGTTACTGTTTTAAAAAAATCTGTTTTCCATGTTTATGGTAGTTCCATCTCATTTTGGCATATCTTAAAACAAAACCAGGATTTAAGTGGGGTTGTTTTTTTTTTCCTTATTTCTTTTTAAGTTCTAGACAGTGAGGAGGAATGCTTCTTAAGCTTTGGGATATGATATTCCATACAGGCTGCAACGCCCATCTCAGTAAGAGCAAGATGTGGCTGCTGGGTCTCTTGTAGAATCTAGAAATGCACAATCCCAGGCAGAAAAGGTGTAACCACACAGGGAGTTACAGAGAGTGCAGAATCATCATCACTGCTCTGCCAAGGCTTGCTGTTTTTCAGGTCTGCCAGATCAGTTCAAACAAGCTATTCCTTGAAGAAGTAGGGTTGTGCTCCTTTTTGTTAAAGGTTGTTCACCCTTGCTATGGGAACTACAATTATGGGGGAAGAAGTGCTGCAGTCCTTAGATACATTTGGCCACATGTTCTGCTGTATGGTCAAGTGCATTAGAATTCTTCCTGTGTCACCTGTTCTCACACATTGAGCACAGTATGTGGTCCATGGCCATGATGTGATCTTAGCTTCTCGCTAAACATTTTTCGTGGATCATTAATTTTATCTGACATAAAGGCATTTAGACTTGTAACTTCTAGAGTTTGTAATTGTTGCTTCAGTGAGGTTTGGGAACCTAGGTAGGATGAAGATACCTAAATACATCTATAGATTTTGTCAGTGTTCTCAAAGACGCAACTCAGCTATATAGTTTAGAAACAGATACCTGTCAGTCCTGAAAACATGCCTGTTGGATCCTGGGCTTTTCAGGAGGACTAGAGTACACTATGTGAAATGTGAAATTCCTTCTTTTTTTCACTTCCCTGCATCTCAGTATAGAAACAAAATCTGTCTTGGTACCTTTGAGAAGGACCAGATACTTATAAATGCTGCTGTGTAGTCTTCTGAGGATGCTAGCTATCCACATCAGTGTATCTTCCAGTTTTTTATTTAGCCAGTGCATGGCATCCATACTAGATGATCAGTGCAAGACTCAACAGAAAACTGCCTCTTTGTCATACTTTTTTCTGCGTGTGAATGTAATCCAGGCAAGGTGTTGGAATTTGGTGTTTCCCCTTTGATAAGTCAGTTACTCTCCACTTCAGTGGGCAAACCTGGCATGGGTCCTGAGCCATCCTTCTGATTATGATTCTTCTGAGAAACATGGCATCAACCCCAGGGTAAGGAGTACAGTTAAGGTGTTGCATATATACCTTAGTAACCTCATTAACCCAGATAACTTAAAATTTGTCAGAGCAGAGGTTGGTAACTACATCTTAAATCCTTCCAGGAATCAGGGGCAGCATATTAACTCAGAATATGTCCTTAGAATATATTTTTTGGACCAAACATGAAATTATTTTGTCATCTTTTTAGTATAGATTTTTTGAAAGTGTGCATTAAAATAGTTTCCACTTGCTTTTCATGTATCAAGAGAAGAGTGTAGCAACTAACTTGAAAGGGCTCTGCAAGAAGTGTAGATTTTAAAATACTATCCATCTTTTGGAAAGGATTTTCTTTGTTACCAGACAAAGCAAATATCCAAACTTCTGCTTGGTAAAAAGCACATCAGATGTCTGTCTTACAATGAATAAAAATGTGTATTTCCACATCCCAGATTGCTAACTATGTGGCTGGTTTCATAGGTGATCTAATTTGGAGCAGCCATGGCCCAGCTCTTTACCCTTGCACCGGCAGATGCTCTCCAGTTGCACAAGCCCATGCTGCACAGTTGAGTGGATTTCCCCTACCACCAACAGAGCAGCTCTTCAAAAACTGGTTAGAAAACTCTCCTTGCCCACTAGCCTGAGACAGCATTTAGTGGGTTAGCTCCTTGAGCCATCTTTCCTCAGAGGCAGATAGTGCCAGCATGGCACAACAGGCAGGTCATTCCTCTACTGCTCAGGTCAGAAGGGAGAATGGAACTGCTGTAAACCCAGTTTAAATTAGCATTGACTGTTACAGAACTGTGTCCAAAGACTTAGCAGAGCAGAATCGGGATGATCCTGGTCCTGCAGGATAGGGCATATTAGGTCATGTTGCTAAAGCTGGCTTTGTTTTATCCATTCACTCCTCCCAGGCAAGATCTACCTGTCCTGCTAGAAAACAGTGAACTACTTAATTTATCTGTATGCACCTAGGTCTTAGGAACAGGTTGCCTGTGTTCTCTGGCCCTCTTCTACAAATAGTGTTTCTTTCAGAAGATAAAAGAACTAGCTACAGATATTTTCCATCTTTAGAATAGAAAGGGTGACATAGTGTTGTAGCTACTCCTGAGGAAGTCCTGTCAACACCTGGCAGGAGGGAAGATTTCTGTACGTGGGTAGGATTAGCCATCTACACTCCTCATCTAGGGAAAGCTGTTACTGGTAACCATGTTTTATACATGTTCAATCAACCTAATCTTATTATTAGATGAACATGTCACCTGTTGTGGTCTCCCATTGATGTGGGATTGAATCAGCACCTGAATTTTGAATGGGGGGATTTAGCTTTAGCTTGTAAAAGAAAATAAAAATCTTTGCTAAGGTTTTATTTAAATGGAAGAAAGGTCTGAAAATCACCTTTTTATAACTATCATTTTATCTGAAATGCTTCTGGATTTCTGATCTTGTTTTTCCACTGCCCTTTCCCAATTAATTGTTCATCTTTTATCTTCTAAAATCCCTATACAACTATTAAAAGCTATATTATTACCAGAAATGGGCAGAAGGACAAGATGAGTAATGAGGGAGCAATCTTTTGTTTATAAATTGATCTTTAATCAGCAGTTTAGGAAAGCAGACTGAAAAATAAATTAAGCAGAGCATGTTTTCAAAGTGTAGCTAAGCATGAATGTCATTCTTAAAAATTAGCCTCATAGGCAATACTTGATGACTTTTTTGTCCTTCTCTGAAAAAAAAAAAAAAGTGGGGGCAGAGGAAGTTAGTAAAAAAATTTAGATGTTTCTAGAATATGTTGTGAAGAGAGTTGGAAGACAGGGGAAATGTACCAGAGAGAAGCAAAGAAAACTATCAAATATTCAGAGTGTTTTAAAACAAGGTTTTTATCAGTTGGTAGAGCTAGTAAAGCAGGCAGTTAGAGCCATTGTGAAGTTTTTGATCTTTTGTTGTTATAACTTAGAACTACTACCATAGTATATCAAGACACACAGAGCTTGAGGTCTGTGATAGCCCCCTGTGCCAGCCAGTCTTACTTTAGACCTTGGATGCCCTCCCTTCTCATTTCCTGCCAGGCACAGAGCCTTCTCTCTCCCTGCTTTCCTCGTGTTCCCTTAGATCAGTTGTATCAGCTGTCACTGCCAGGCCCTATAGATGCCCTTTGTTCCTCCTCCCTATGTAAACTGCTGATCATTTTGTTGGTTCCCTTCTTTATAGAGCAAGATGTTCCATGGAACTGATACTATCAGTCTAAAAATATGCTTGCAGGGATATTTCTGGTTTGTTTCCAATATCCAGAATAAGAATCTTCAGAAAAACCAACACCAACAAAACACTCACTCTTGGAAGGATGGAAGGACACCAAGACAGGGAGCAATTACTTGGATATAATATACTCACACACTCATGTTGACTAGAACAAAAGTGCTCTTCTGTCAGTTCTTCATTTTTAGGAGAGCTCTGAGGAGTGCTTTCAAGGAACTTTTCCAAAATTCACGTAGGGCCCAACAACAGGGAGTTGTACGTACGTTTCTTTTTCTCCTGCTCGCGAGTTCTTTTGATTAAGCACAATTGGATAACCTTTCCTAAAAATCCTATAGAATACAACTTCTTTGTGGGCAACAGGGAAATTTTTTGGCTAAAGTATAAGATTAAGAGGATGACTATCTTAGTTTCAGCATCTACTCAGTTCCTGGCAAGCTTGAGACTTAGGGCGGTGAGTTTACTGTGCCATAGTTTCATCATATTCAAAATGGGACATGGGACTACCAGTCTATCTCATGGCATTTCTGGAGATCATTGCATGTGAAAGTGCTGCATAGAATCATTGTTTATTCAATAATTTTGAAGAAAACATGGGGTTCCTTTGTTGTGCCCCCTTATTAGCAAGGCATAATTTCTGGTCTAGGAGTGAGAAGACAATCTCACCATTCTTTTTTTTTTCTCACAGTAGGTTGCTATGTTGGTCTCTAAATCAGATTCTAGCATTCTTTAATACTGGTTTGATATTCAGGCACTTTATTGTATATGGTCTTTAAACATTAATGGGCGTGTCAAGTTGTTCTTTGTTATTAGAACAGTTTTACAGCAAATAGAAATCAGTTTAAAATCCGATGCATTTATTGCAATTGTTTCTTTTCAGGAAGATGTATGTGCAATAGGAAGTTTAAAGTGAAAGTAAACTGACACCTTTTTATTTTCAAATGCATGATAAATTAGACTTTGCTTGAACTTTTATACCCCTGTCCTGGGAAGAATGCGTACAGCTTGCTTTCAAGAAATTCTTTTTCGGTCAAGCGTGCTGGGTCTGTATTCAATGTCCTTTCACTGTGTATTCTTTTGTGCTTTAGTTTTAACAATTTGCATTTTTTAACATCTTTTATATTCAACCTAATGTTCAACTAGGCTGGAGAAAATCTCTGACCGCCTAGGAGCTGAAATCACCAATTTAAACCAAGCTCTTGTCCTCCCTCTACAGGAGAGTTTGCAGCGTTCAAGTAGCCACAGCACCATGGCAGCACCCACTCTGTTATTTAAGTCTTGTGTTCCTACAGTTCCTTAACATCAAAACTCTATTCTGCTCCACAAAACCTAAAGTAATTTAGAAAAGATATCCATAAGCTTAAAAGTGGAGCAGAATGGAACTGCCAGTCCAACACAATGGGAAAAAAAGTACCTTTTTGGGAACCAGAATCCTCTGCTGCCAGTGTTTCTCCTTCAACACAAACCACCACGTGCATTCGGAGACCCGCAGTGGCTGCCTGTGCCGTTGGCATCATTCCCAGGAGAGAGGAGAGGGCACTCGTGGTTTGACTGTGGTGCTCGGGCATGAGGGGATGGAACTGCTGCTGCAACTTAGGAGACTTGCTTTGGATGGTCTGCTGGTCGGCTTTCTCCCTCTAACAACGTACCATCAGAGGCTGAGTATCTGATGAGTGCTAATTTAAAAGAATCCTCCTCCCTTCTCATCTTTTGTTTTCCTGTTGTACTCACTGATTTATGGACAATGCAGTATCCCCTTTTCACTCTATGACAATGTCAGATGCCTAAATCTGTCTATATTATTTGGTTTTATTCCAGTAAAATGTAAAGTATGGGGTGATAGAAGATGGAGAAAATGTTACTCCAAAGGCAAAGTGGTTAATCTGAAGGAAAAGGGGATGCTGCTGCTGCACCTTTTTTCAGATTTACTTTATCACTTCTTCGAAAAACAAACAACCACCAACCGTAACCTTCTCCTTTTCCGGTATTTTCTTGGTGTGTGCATATACAACGTCTTTTAGAAGGATCAGTTACATCCTTCTTTTGTTGGTCCAGCAACAAACTGAAGTTAAAAAAAAAAAAAATGTAGCAAGATTATCCTCTTTTATTTTTTCTTTTTGTATCATATGACACAATGTATTTATCAATGATGCTACCACAGCATCTGAAGTCTGTAGAATTCCTGATACAGACTGTGAACGGTGTATGTACCTACTTTAAAAGTTTTATTTTAAATGAAGGTGCAGGTTAATGCCAGGTACCTTACCAATATGTAATGTTTTCATAAAAGGGGAAAAAAGTTCTCAGGTTGAATTGAATACAAATACAAAACCCCCTAGAATTAGACATTCCAAAAATTATGTTTTGGTACTTTCAAGAGCTTTTTTTTTTTTAAAGGATTTTTATCCTGTTAACTAAACGTCCTCTGATAAGTGTGTGTGTAAATGTGGAGCATCTTGTCCTAATGGCAAGCTGTTAGATCAAAACAAAAACGGTACTTGCTGGATCCACGCTGACTACTTCTCTCATTGCTTCCTTCCCTGTCATCTCTTCCCTTTAACCATGTGTCTCTCCCTTTTGTACACTTTGCAAACTAGGATGAAGGTGGCGGTATCTCCATTAGAGTGCTCTGTTTTCCTGTCCTCCAATCCTGGTTTTCAAATGGTTGGTAGCTTTTTGACAAGTTAACCAGTCAGGGAAAAAAACAACTCAAAGTTCTGCACATTGTTTACCTCTAGTAGAATATCTTGTGATGTGATCTGTTTGCAGAGTTCTCTGGTATGTGGTATTACTTGTAAATTATTTGTACAGAGGCAAGTCAGACCACATTAGAAAGAAATTAAAGCTCAGACAGTTTTCAGAATTTGATTCATATCTGCCTTGTGCCACTCCCTCCAGGTGAGGCAGGAGAACCGACCCACCTCGAGCTGGCAGATTCTTGCTGGGGGGAGATGGAGGGTGTTAAAATAATGGCAAATAAATGAAGGAGTTAAATGTGTGTGAATGTGGTGTCCACGCTGAACACGGGTGTATTGGGTGAGGACACTGTCCTTCTCTCTCTGGGGGATTTGGACTGTTTCTGTATGCAGAAGGTTGCTCCCTGGAGAAGGGAGAAATGCACATTGGTAGTGGGACATGCTTTTAAAACCCTGGAGTTCTGTGGTGTTGCTGGTAGTATGTTATGCTTGTCAGTAAGTATTTACTGAGGTTATAGGGACCGGACTAATCTGAAGTGGGAATTATAACTGAAATACTGTGTATTCATATTAATTCCACAAACATTAGCAAGACAGCAATAGTGAATGACTTAATAGTCACTACAAGAATGAAGTGATTCATGTTGGTACATGAATAAAATTGATTTTGTGTACAGGATGCATTTTAAAAACAAAAAAGAGAAGAAGAAAAAAAAAAAGCACAAATTTTTTCTTGTCTGCTGTGGGTCTTCAGATGCTGTAAGGCTTTTTCCTTATTGAGATTGGCAGGAATTTAAATAGTAGCAATAGCCACTTTACAATGTGGAGAAGCTAACGAGCGAGCAGTGGTGCGCAGACCAGTGAAATCAGAGTGCTCCCTCGTCATCTTTTGAGGCCAATACCTAAGAGGTGGAAAGAGCCTGGGGCCGCTGGGGTCAGCAGGCAGGCAAGAGCCTTTACAAACTCCCAGAGGGTGAAGTAGTCGCTGCTCACTCTCCCTCAAGCCCCTCTATGGTTTGTGGCCTAATTTGTACATGTCGGACATACTGGAAATTAACGTTCTCCCAAAATAAACTGTTATCGGAGCAAGAATGTACAGGTGGTTCAACAGTCATTTGTTTCACAGAGCTTGTTGAAAGCCCTAATTTCCTTCCATAAGGTCATGCTGGCAGAAGATTGTCTGCTAAAATAGAACTGTTAGGAATTTCATTCTATCTTTGCTTAAAATGAACTTATTTTTGTGAAGGTTCTTTACTCGTTAGTCTACAATATGCTTCTTGAGCCCATAGGAAAAGCACAAGGAAAGTTGCTGTCCTTGTCCATGCAAAGCACTTTATAAGTAACACGTGATCTTTGGGGGTTTTTTACTGGGGTTTGTTTGTTTGTAGTTTTGTTTTTCTGTTTTGTTTTTTTCCCTGAGGAATGTGCAAGTTTTTGGCTGCTGTTTAGAGAAGTCCTTTCAGAACGCATTTCTACTGGTTTTCACATTTGTTTCCCTCCAGATAGCTGTAGTAATGTTTTTCTGTAAGAGGTCCCATGTAATAATCATGCAAAACATTGGAAGAAATTTGATTTGTAAATAATTGGTATTTTTATTTTTTCCCAATCTTTGCCTTCAGGAGTTTTTCTGGATGTTTTGCATGCCATCAGAACCAGTCTTAAAGGTGCTCTGTAGATGTTTAGTGAAAGGGGAGGTAAGAACAGACACAAATGGAGTGCCCTGTATAGCAGTGGGATGAAGGAAGTAAACTCAAATACCCAATAGATTTATGTCTGTTACACCAGATTTCTTAAGCTTCCCTGTGGTGTTAGAAGCAAAAGCACATGCCATAGTATGGAAGTGTTAGCACATATTTCATGTGCATGTGTCGAGACAAATAGAATCACAGAATTGTTCTGGTTGGAAAAGACCTTCAGAATCATCAAGTCCAACCATAAAGCATCTAGACAGCCATACTGCTTTTAGCTCTACAGTATCTACTATCTAATCATTATTTGCAAAGCTACCAGTATCCAGTCCCAGCTGTTCATGTCTTTATTAACCACACATACACCTTTCCCTCTGCCTTTCCTTTTCCATACTGTTAGAAGAGCCCTGTTTTTTACATCTTCCTTGCTAGCACAGTGTTTTTTCCTGTGGCTGGAACTGGAACATTGTAGTGGAGCTTAGACCCAATGGTATGAGCATAGAGGCCTGGTTATTTTGAAAGGAATTTCTGTGTGAATTAAGTCCTACATGGACCCAGATACAATTAGCCCAGTAATTTAGTTCTTTGCTAAACTCGTGCAGGTCATTGAATGAACCCACTTCTGCTTTTTATGCTTATCAAAAATAATCTTTTCTTGTACCTGAATCCTCTAGCAGCAGAATGAGGCCAAGTACTGCTATCGCACCGTGTTCTCTCAACATCACTTGGATTAGTACGTGCTCGTTAGAGACAGAATTTGGCCCTCATGACATAAAATGAATGAAACACTGACTATTGATAAGTACCACATCTTTCCAGAAATGCCAAGACTTGGGGGAAAACACAGTCAGGATGACACATAAATAGGTTTGCCTGGTGATATAAGTACATCTAGCATTTTACAGAACATTTGGGGAAGCCAGATCCCCAGAAACCTCATAAACACGTACAAGTTGAAGTTTTGATAGCTGGAGGCTATGTTTAGGGAAGAAGCACGTAGACATTTCACACTTCCACAGCCAGTAGATTTCACTCCCTTCTTGACTGTGAGTGCAGCATGTGTAGCACAAACTAGTGCTTCATAGTACTGTAGACATTGTGTCTTCTGTCTGTTGAAAAAAGAATCACCAGTAGCACAATGCAACAGGCAAAGCTTCCAGGTACAGTCCAGTTCAGTTAGAAAGCAGTTGCTTGAGTGGACTGTTACAGCATCTCTGGGAAGGTGCTTGGTGTTCTGGTTTTCTGTGTTTTACTCAGAAGTTTATAAAATGAACTTTGTTTACTGCAGCCTTGTTCATGTGCCAGGGGAGGTTCAACTTGGATATTAGGAAAAATTTCTTCACCAAAAGAGTGGTGAGGTATTGGAAGAGGCTGCCTAGGGAGCTTGTGGAGGCACCATCCCTGGAGGTGTTCAAAAAATAGGTGAATATGGTGTTTCAGGAGATGGTTTAGTAGTCATGGGCATCTAGGGCAGCCAGCTGGACTTGAAGGTCTTTTCAAACTTTGATGATTCTATGATTCTACATGCATTTGCCCTTCCTGTTTGTATTGGCATGCATTTTAAATATCTTTCTTCATTGCTTCATTACTTCTTACCTAGTAAGTAAAATTTTCAGAAGAGCAAAGTTGTTAAAATCTTTTCTTTGCATTTAAGTTCAAGGATGCTAACACAGAAGCTACTAAGTCAGCAGCACCATGACAGCAGTAAATAACTAGGAAACCGTGGAAGGAGGAAATTGGGAAAACTGCAGAATATAGAGTAAACCAAGAGTGAAATCAGGTGAAAACAGGCCTATCTCTTTACTTCAGAAAAGAGAGCTGCCAAGACCCTCTCTGGTAAATGGTTTACATAGGGATTTCCCAAAACAGTCTTTGCAGTTTGCCAAATGATCATGTGCCTTCACAACCTTAAAAAGTACAACAGAATGTAAACCAGGTGCTTTGTAACTAGAGCGGTGGCTTTGGTTTACTTCTGATGCAGTAGTCTTGTATATAGCTGTTACTATAGATAAGGTAGTTTGGAGTTGGTAAACTTCTGTAAAGGGAGGGCAGAGAGCATTCCCCAAAATACCTGTGATTATTTCAAAGCTTAGGAATGGAAGGATACCCAATTCAGTTACAGTAAGCCTGCTGCTTGAAATCTGCTCTATCAAAAGTTAAATGAGATTCATTTAATTTAAAAATAAGCCTTCCTCCCCCTCCAAAGGCACAAAGAACTTGTTAAAGAAAAGTAATAGAAAGCTCTGAAGAGACCCAAAGTTACACTGTTATAGCATCTTGGAATGAAGCAGATGAAAAACGAGCACTAGAAGAGGAGAAATAAATGGCTAGCACTCATGTAATCTAAGTTCACATATATTAGACTATACAATTAATTCCTTGTCCCAGAAAGCGCAGTTAATTTTGTT